TGACGTCTTACTGTCTCAACATGAGGGAGACCTTGTTGCAAGGACGGAAGCTTCTTGACCAGAATTCCCGCGACGGAAACCTGTACGTGAGAGGGGTAGCCAGCGTCCAGAAGTCGTTCTGCTTGTTCCTTGAAACTAGCTGCCATCAGATGTGGACAAGACTTCTGCAAGGCGTTACTAAAGCACATGTTTACAATGCCTCGTTTTACGAGCTAAGTATGGGCGGAATGGTACGGAAGCAAGGGTTTGTTACTCCTCGGTTTATACATCCAACAAATGTGGTCTAGGTGAAGAATGAGAGCGATATCTAAAAATGTGAGAGTGTTATTAACAGGCAACTCATGGGTTAAAACAAGAGGACTAAACCACTCGTTGATGAAGTTGAGGATATCTAGGGCACAAAAAATAGGGTCACAGTCAAGAAGAATGAGGAAGTCGTCAACAAATCTAAAGATGCACATGATTCGGTTGTCACTAAGGTCACCGGAAACGGTTCTGTCGAGCTTGGCTAAAAACAAATGACTTAATATTGGAGCATTACAAGAGCCAGTACAAATTCCCTCCTTTTGAAGGTGGGGCTTCCCATTCCATTGAATAAAAGTAGATTGCAAATAAAAGGATAAAAGTTCTACAAAGCTACTTGACGATATACCAGAATTATTTTAAAATGTTATGCTACCAAGCTTGTCAATGCTAACTAAGAATGGATTTGTGAGGCAACGAATAGTACAGATCTTTTACATCAATGGAAAAACCACACATGTGCTGATTCGAACAGGATCGGACGAAATCAAGAACTTGATGGGAATTTTTCACGAGAAATGGGTCATCTACTGTTAATAGACCAAGCTCATTTTGTAAAACAACGCAACACTTTTCTGCCACGTGCCATTTTCTGAAACGATAACACGAAATGGTTTTTCAGGCTTATGTGCTTTCGCACCGAAGAATACCTCAAGACAATCTTTTTGCTAATTGCTATGTCACTAAGAAGTTTACTGAGGTCGAGCTTTTCACTTCCTCATTCTTCTTGACTGTGACCCCATTTTTTGTGCCCTAGATATCCTCAACTTCATCAAGGAGCGGTTTAGTCTCCTTGTTTCAACCCATGAGTTGCCTGTTAATAACACTCTCAGATTTTTAGATATCGCTCTCATTTTTCACCTAGACCGCATTTGTTGGATGTACAAACCGAGGAGTAACAAACCCTTGCTTCCGTACCATTCCGCCCATACTAAGCTCGTAAAACGAGGCATTGTAAACATGTGCTTTAGTAACCGCTTGCAGAAGTCTTGTCCACAATTGATGGCAGCTAGTTTCAAGGAAGAAGTAGAACGACTTCTGGACGCTGGCTACCCCTCTCACGTACAGGTTTCCGTCGCGCGAATTCCGGTCAAGAAGCTTCAGTCCTTGCAACAACCTCTCCGTCATGTTGAGCCAGTAAGACGTCAGAAGCTGGCCATAGTGCCTTATCTGCATGGAATCTCCCACAACTTGAAAAAGGTGAAGAGCGGGCCAATGTAAAGGTGGGGTTTTCTGCCCCGAAAGAGCTCTCGTACTTGTGTATGAAAGTTGTTTCACATGCAAAACCGGGATGCTTTAAAAAGCACTTAACACTGTTTGTCACATGCGTGCAATTTGTAATCTATCAGATACCTCTTTCATGCGGTAACCGCTACATAGGACAAACTGGCAGGTGTATTAATGACCGGCTCCGCGAACACGCTTGCAACGTAAAAAATGGTCGAGATGGTTTTCTGGCACTACATTGCAGCACGTGTGGCTGCAAACCACTTTTTATGGTACGGTAATCATAGAAAAAAACAGAAATAAAGTGACAAGGGAGATTATTGAAGCAGAAAGGATTAGTAGATTAGGGCTGAACTGCGTCAGCAATCCTTCTCTCTGTTTTTGTGAAAGAGAATTGTCGTTTTTGAGATCATAAGTTTTTAGCGCATGGCAATAGAGGGTTTTTCATCTGTTTGTCTGTTGTTTTCGAATTTCGTGAGCATATATATGTACGCTCCTCGAAATAAAATTTTGTTGGAAGTAAGCGCTCCCTTCTGTCCCTTCCCTTGTCCTATGTTTCAAAACGCGCTACGTCGATTAAGTATGGAAGAGGTGCTGCAGCCACTCCTGCAAGACTTAAACTTAATACAACAAAATGAAGTGCATTCTGGGAATCTGCTCTTTAATGTTGCAATCATGGCTTTCATTGGAGACAACCTTTCAATGCACCCCTTAGTAGGCCTTCAGTGCAGCTTTAGCAGAGGCAGAGCCTGCCGTTACTGCCTAGCATCGCACAAACAAATGCAAATGCTGCGCAGATTGGATGTCTGCGTCGAAAGAACAAGTGAAGCATACAAAAGCCATCTAGAAGCATTCGCACTTGACCCAACTGTGAATGGGCCCATGTACGGCATCACAAGTGCTTCACCACTTAAAACGCTTGAGCACTTTGACATCACAGAACAACTTCCTCTCAATGCTATGCATGGCATACTCGAAGGCGGTATCGAGTGTGTCGTTCGCCATGTTCTAGAAGGCTTAGTTGGTGACCGTGTGATCCGTAAACAGGACCTTGAAAGGGTATTGTTATGTTGGTGTCCGGAGCCTCATGGCGCAGGAACCACACCGGACAGCGGCTGGCGGGAGACATGTTTATTGCTTTCCTTTAGAAGTGGACGAGAGGAGGTTATGGCGAAGGTAGAGTCACTCCAGGGAGTGTACACGTGTAACACGATATGCAGGAGCTGGGGATGAAAGTCCAAGGAAGGCGCCAGGCGCGTGGGCACGTCGGGCCAAACCCTTAAGCGAGGCGCAACACATGGAGTGGCCGTGTGTCGGTTACGTGCACGTACACAACATCCCTTACCCCTTAGACCGGGTCACCGTATCGGTCAGGTGAATGCCGATCACGTTGGGGCCTCGGCGGAGTCTGGTGCTGCGTGGACCCACTGGGTTGGTCATTTCGAGCTTGTGTCGCACAAGTGTCCAACCTGGCCTCAGCTTCTCGATGTTCGGAGTCGATCGTTGTGGGCAGATCAAGCTGTGGCGGTCCTTCCGCTGGGAGTGAGATCATGTATGGAGCCGGCACTGTGTCTTGCTGATCACTTGCTGCTGGTCCGTTAGCTAGATCGTTCCGCGGCGAATCGTTTGTCGGGTAGGCCTCTGCACCTGGCTTTCTGTGATCAAGGTGCCGACGAACTGTTCCGCTTCTTGATTTGATTAACCAAGATCGATGTCCAAGTCTCTTTAACACGGTTCTGCCAACCCAAGCAGGACTTCCTGCAAAGTTGCGGAAAAAGACAGATTGCCCGATAGCTACCTTTCTTGGCGATTTCGTAGCGCTGTGGTCAGTGGTCATCCTTTCAGCTGGTTGCGGCTGAATGCGTGTCAGTGCCGTTGAGTGTTCGCGGCCGAACATGAGTGCAGCTGGCGTTTTGCCCGTCGTTACTGAAACGGTGGTGTGCTGTTTCAGCTGAAAACGAGCCAGCCTGCACGCAAATGTTCCTCACTGATCCTTTGCAAGTGCCTGTTTCGTTTCATACTCCATTCTTTCAGCTTGCCCATTCGTGACTGGATGATAGGGCGCACTTATGATGTGCATCACCCGATTCTTTTACAGAAATTCTTCCATTTCCGCAGAAACAAAGGACGGCCGGGCTGTCATCCGTGACCACCCTTTCGGGTATGCCGAAAGTTGCGAACAGGTTTCGCAGTTCCTCGATCAGTGTCGGTGACCGTATCTTCCGCATGATGCGCACTTCGAGCCACTTGCTGTATGCGTCGACTACAATTAGCAGCATCCTTCACTCCAAAGGCCCAGCGAAGTCAGCGTGGATTGTGTGCCTTGGTGTTGTCACACGTGTCCACTCGACGGCTGGTGCTGCCAACACCAGAAAATGCTAGTAGGCATTTTCTGGCGCTGGCAGCAAGTTGCACAACTTTGGACCACCCACTCTATGTCGTTGTTGACACCGGCTACCGAAAATAGCCTCGAGTGCACGCCTTCATAGCCACCACGCCCCTGTGACCCGCATGTGCTAAGTCGAGCAGGTCTTTTCTTGCTTTCTCCTGAACGACCAGTCTGGCACTCCGGATGACGCAACCCTCCTGTAGCTAGAGCTCGTGCTGAAGTTTTGTGAATACCGAAAATTTCTGCTTGGGTTCTCCGTACGAAATAGCTGTCATCACGTGGGATAACAGTTGGTCACTCCGGGTGAGCTCAGCCAGTTTACGCGGTGACAGCTCGAAACGTGGCGCGGACGCAAGCATAAGCACATCTCCCGGAGAGAACGGCTCGTCTACCTGCGCGGGCAGTTACAGCCTGCTGAGCGCGTCAGCATTTTAGTGCCGACGTCCAGGCATGTACACCATGTCGAAGTCATATGTGGCCAATCTGAGACACCATCGAGTTATCCTCGGTGGCAATATCCGAGGGATTTGCTTCTTTTCCCCCATGATGCCTAGGTGGTTGGAGATCCATTAGTACGGTTACGTGCTGGCCAGCGACATATTGGTGAAAGTGGCTGACGCCTTAAACTACCGCAAGACCTTCTTTATCGAGCTGCGAGTAGTTTTTCTCAGCGGTTCCCAAAGTTCATGACGCGAATGCAATGGGAGCCTCTCGGTCGAACGCATCCTTTTGAGCGAGAATCGCACCGATGCCGTATGGTGACGCATTCACAGACAGAATGAGGCCTTTTTTCATCATAATGTGCAAGGACTTTCGGAGACCTAATCATCTTTTTAAGCATCTCGAAAGCAGCTTTGTGTTTTTTCTCCCACCTCCAGGGCGTGTTCTTCTCGAGAAGCCCATACAACTCTGCAGCTACTGTCGCTCGGTTCTAAAAAAAACGATCGTAAAAGCTGAGAAGCCCCAAGAAAGCCTGCAGAGAGGTCTTGTTTGTCGATTTTGGCGCCTCGAGCATTGCCTTTACCTTCTCTACGGTCGTATGGGCACCCTGAGCGTCGATTTTATGACCTAGAAACTGGACTTAGCTGATACCGAAGCGGCACTCCTCTTGTTTGAGCCGCAGACCTTTGTCGCTTAGCCTCGAAAGGACTTGCTCTAGACGTTGCGCATGCTCTTTAACATCCTTCCCTCTAACAACAATGTCGTCAAGGTAGACACTCAGCCCCTGAATTCCGGCCAGTGTAGTCTCCATCATCTGCTGGAAGATGGCTGGCACAGCGGATACTCCAAAAGGGACACGCTTCACCTTGAACAGTCCTTTGGTGGTGTTGACGGTGAGCAGTGCGGCTGTGTCGTCGTCCACTCTTAGCTGCTGATAGGCCTGGTTAAGGTCTAGCATCGAAAACGTCGTCCCACCACGCAACTTAGCGAACACCTCCGCAGTTGTCGGTAGCGGGTACACCGTCTTTTTGACCACCACTTTAACTGTACTCCTGTAATCTCCACAAACGCGAAGTGTGCCGTCCTTTTTGCGCAACCACACCAACAGTGTGGCCATTTCGACATGTTGCGTCGGCTCCAGGATATCTCGTTTTTGCAGGCGGTCGAGCTCTTTCTCTATAGGCTGTTGGTAAGCTAGGGGCACTGGCCGTGCTTTGCAAAACTGGGGTGTGGCACCTTCTCCCTTGTCCAAGTGAACCAATGGACCCACGTAGCCGTCGATACCTTCCTTAAACACATCAGGATGGCGTGCGAGAACATCCTGGATCTCTTGACTTGGTTCGGCGACCTGGTTTACTCTGTGAACACGGATGTTCAGTGTTGAAAACCAGTCACGTCCGAGCAGGTTGCACCCAGTCCATTTTATCAGGGGCAGCCCATAGTCCTTTGATTTGAAACGCACACGAACTTGTGCCGAACCGAGGGTGGCAAGTTCTTCCCCTGACCAGGTGCGTAAGTCTAGGGGTTCTCTCGAAAGCTTAGGGGCGTTCGATGGCCACGTTTGGCAGTAGGTAGCCTCACTGATGAGAGAACATGCGGTGCCCGTGTCCACTTCAAATTTCAGGGGCTTTCTCTCGACTTTTACGTCAACGAGGAGTTTAAGGCAGGGTTGTCGCCCCCTCACGGCACGTAGGTCGTATCACCTATCGGTGTCCGCGGGGTCGTAGCTCACGGGTTGGGCGTTAATCAGGTGAGTTCCTTGCCGGGCGTTGAGGTTTCCTACTTTATTTTCTTCTTTTTGAAGATGCAGGTGTTCTCGATGTGGCCCTTTTTGGCACAAAAACGGCATTGCGCTGTCCCGAACTTGCAGGTGTCAGCCTCGTGCCAGCTGTCGCATCGGTAGCAGCGCCGTTGCTGAGCCGAATGTTTGGTTTCTTTTTTCGACTGCGAAGTCTTGTGCACTCCCGCGGAGCTCATAGCTCTCTTAAGGCCTCGTTGCTGCTTCGACGCACTTTCGGTCGACAGTGCCAGGTCCAACGCGCGTTGAAAAGTCAAGTCTTTCTTCGTAAACAGTCGGGGCTGGAGATGCTCGTCGCAGATGCCGCATACGAACCTGTCGCGAAGCATCATATCTTGGGTTAGCATGGTGGGGTTCGCCAGAACGGCTGCGTGGCCTTCTGCCAGTGGCGTCGATGCAGCAGACGTTGTCGCTGGCACTCCGAAGTTACAGTCAGCTGGCAAACTTCTGAGGGCTGCAGCGTAGTTGCTGATTGACTCTTCCGGTCGCTGGTCGCGTCGCTGGAACACATACCGGCTGTACAACTCAGACGGTCGCGGATCGAAGTGTTTCTGCAGAAGGGCAACTATGTCGGCATAGCCCACCTCTCCAGGAGTCTTCGGCGCGACCAAGGCGCAGGCAGTTTCAAAGGTGTCGGCTCCGCATAGCGTGAGGAGGAGCGCGCGCTTTTTTTATTCCTCGCAGACGTCGTTCGCCACGAAGTAGAAGGTCAGGCGCTGGTTCCACGATGACCACTTCTTGCCGCTAAAAGGCTCGATGGCAGCCTGCATTCCTCTAGTAGCCATGGGCGTAACATAGAGAGCTGCGCACTTTATAAATCCCATCCTCGTTGCCAGTGTTATGTTGGTGTCCGGAGCCCCGCGGCGCAGGAACAACATGAGACAGCGGCTGGCAGGAGACTGTTTATTGCTTTCTTTTAGAAGTGGACGAGAGGAGGTTATGACGAGGGTAGAGTAACTCCAGCGAGTGTACACGTGTAACACGATATGCGGGAGCTGGGGACGAAAGTCTAAGGAAGGCGCCAGGCGCGCGGGCGCGTAAGGTCGCACCCGCAAGCGAGGCACAACACATGGAGTGGCCGTGTGTCGGTCAAGTGCGCGTACACAACAGATATCATCCTTCAAGCATGGCTTTCATGACAGAGGCCACACCTCTTGCCGTTACGATCGCATTTCCTAATGGCGAAGCCTGCATGAGGGGATCAGCTAGCCAGAAATGGTGCTTGTTTCGTCTGCTTCTCCAGATATATGCTCAAGTTGTTCCTGAAGGCAATTCTCACTGGGAGGAGTACTTGGCATACAGACACAATGCTGACATTATTTTGGCAGAGCCAATCCCAAGGAGCTGTGTGCCATATCTACAGGTGAAGGTGGAGAAGTTTCTCGACCTGTATGCAGTGCAGTACCCAAATGCAGCAGTGACACCAAAACTGCACTTGTTGCTACACTATCAAAAGTACATTCTGAAGTATAGCCCACCGCGCGGCTACTGGGGCATGCAATTTGAAGCTAAACATTCTTATTTTAAGAGCAATGTATCCAAGACAAAGAACTTCAAGAACATCCGTCTTACAACCTCAACACGTCACCAGCTTCTTCAGGCATATGAGCTGTCAGGCAACATGTTGAACTCGGATCTTGAAACAACTGGAGCAAAGCAGCTTAATGCAGGAGATCTTTCAGAACAACAGCAGTTGCTTCTTCGTAAAGTGTCCGAAGAGGAGTTCATCTCCACAGCTACAACCGCTAGCGTCAGTGGTTACTGTTATCGCACAGGTGACACGTTTGTCCACAGTGTGCACGATGGTGAGCCGCAGTTCATGCAAATTGGAAGAGTCCTTCTTTTTAGCGGTTCATTAGTGCTCCTATGCAAGCCCCTTGAAACTCTGAAATGCAGTGAACACAGATCCTCTTACACCGTAAAGGCATCTGCTGCCTTAGTTGCGATAATTCCCGATCACAAACAGGGTTTCTACCCGCTTGACCTTTATTCTAGCCATGAATTTTGTGAGGTTGTGACACACTATACTGTTCTCTAGACTAGCTGTGGCAAACTTATTTTACAATCTCCACGGATAGGGACCAAGGCTGCCTGCATAATTTTGGCTTACGAGTTAACGTACTGATCAAAATCTTTTTACGCCTATTTTTTCTTCTTGTTCACTCACGCGTCTTTGTTACGCTGTAACAATGGCCGACATTCTGGTAGATTAACAACTAAACAGTGTAATGCGACAGAAGCTCTAATGCACAGTTAGGAGTACAGTATTTTAATGTCTTCACACCTTGCCAGCTCATAACTGCACTGATGCAAACTTCAGTGTAGATTATCATTAGGTATGAGGAATTCTTCCAACAGGTTTGCTAAAGCTGTGTTTCTGCAATTCTAATATGAAGATTCTATGTGCAGAAATTTGTCATTATTGTACATGTGACACTATACTTGGTTGTCAGTCTCTGCTAACTGCTATTAGGTTCCCTGTTTTCTTTCATGTTCTTTGATGAGCATGGGCACTGTCAGGGGGCTGAAAAAGCCACACTTGCCCCCTTCAAGCCACACACTTACCCCTCACCCAAAATACACCACCAATAATCCCCTCCCCCTGCTGCAATGCAGCAGAAGTTTGCACCCCCCAAAGTCCTGCCGGCGTCCATGATCTTAGGTGTGCTGTTGTGAGGTGATAATATATTTGCTATAGATTTTGTTTTTGTACAGTAATTCACCACTTTATTAGCTAGTACAAAATGACAAGCTTTTTATGTGGTAACTTAAGCTTGTTCATAATCTAATTAAATCACTGCATGCATTGTACAGCCACATATAAACGATCGTGCACTGCAAAGCCAATGTAGAGCTCCATGTTAAACTCAGATCTTATGACAACTGGAGTTCAGCAGCTCAGTGTAGGAGATCTTCCAGGAGAGCAGCAGACAGCTCTTCAGAACGTGACTGAAGAAATTACCCCAGAGTTGACACTTTTGTACACAGCGTGCTCAATCACATATCACGGCTAGTTCATGCTAATTGAAAGAGTCCTTGTCGTTTATTTATTAGTGCTCATATGAACGGCCCTGAAAATCCTGGAATGCAGTGAACAAAGGTCCTCTTAAAATGTCAAAGTACTTGCTGGTTTTGGACTAAGTATTCTGGGTGACGTTTAGTGTTTCTACCCACTTGAAGTTTACTCGAGTTGTGAAGTTTGTGAGGCTGTGACACACTGCAGTATTTTTAGAATAGTTTTAGCAAGACTGACTTCACAAGTCCTGCTGACATTGGCCATATTCATTCTAAAAGGTCCAGTCATGGACACACAAAGATGTGTAGACACCGCACAAACGTAGACACCTCACAAATGTCTACACTTTCTTCTTGTGTCCATGCTCGCACTCTCTGTCTTTTAAAATAATTACTTACCAACTAGGTCACCTATTATGCGCCATATTGCCTACATCTTTTCGCGAGTCGATGCCATAAATAGAACCTTTGTATGCCTACTTTTTTGCTTTGTTCTTTGGGGTAACTTTGTCGTACTCTCAACTGATGCGTAATATGTTTTTCACAAAGAATAAATGAAAAATTAAAAAACAAACAGTGGGAAAGCGTTTGTTATTCAAAGAAATTTCCCACCTTACAATTGCAGGGATCATTTTAAAAACAAAACGGTAGATTGAATGAAGAATTACATCCTTTCAATATGAATGTTTTCTGCACAACAGATTACGCCTTTTACCCTAAACAAAAAAAAATACAATTGAACCCCTTCAGATGACACATGCATTGGGTAGTAATTCTTGTCTTATATGAGATGTCTCATATGAGCAGTGTACAAAGCATGCATTTTCCTATTAACACCTATTTTGATTTGGGCACGGTGGTGTTCCTTATGGCAGTTAGTCTTACATCAGTGTCTCTAATGATTTGACTCAGCGGTACAGTAAAATCTTCATAATTCAAACTAAAACCTTGTTCAAAGTAGGCGGAGAGAGAGAGAAAAAAAACCTTATTGAGGTGTCCCTGCTGGGGTCAAAGGTGACGGGGGGCCGAAAGACGGGCCCCTCTGCAACCCCCTTTCTCAGGCGGTGGCCAGGTCTTGGATCCTGGCAGCGTCTTCGGCCAGCCGGACAGCCCAGAGCTGGTCCTCCGGGCCCGTGCTGAGCAGCAAAGCCTCCCACTGCTCGGCCGTGGTGATTGTGAATGTAGAGTTCATGCTGTGTTTAACTGAGTGAGTGAGACAAACCTTTGGTAAAAGTTGCTGATGGCAGTCTTGGAGTCGCTGATGATGCAGGATGTCTGGGTTGAAGTGTAGGCGAGAGCGATGGCTGCTTCTTCGCCTTCTTCGGGTTTGTTTGCGCGCAGATATAACTAGTAGATGGGAGCCAGAATGAATAAACACTGCAGCACACTACCCGGACAAAGTCCAAGGAGCCACCTCTGGACTCATTATCACTAATGCTGCCTTACTACACATTCATGGCAGGTGATTTTCTAAATTGAATTCTTGGCACTCCGAGAGCGAAATGAAATAGTCGGTCACTTAGTGATATGCCAAGGTATGACATGTATTCACGTGAGCCATCAGCCTTAATGTCGAGATATATGATGCCATTTATGCTTCAAAGCATGTTTATTTACAAGGCCTGAGTTACTATTACAAAAATTAAAAGTAATCAATAATTCAAGCTGCTAACATAGCTGCTTTTTGCTGTCATCCTTGTGTTTTCTTTCTGCAATTTTACAAAGAAAATGCTGTATAAAACTGAAACTGAACTTGTGTTCCTTAAATCGTGACTTCATCAGCATTCCTTGTATCTTGCCCATGAGCTCCAATGCAGCGTCCAAATTATCACCTGTTTACAAATGCTGCTGTTTCGTTGTTTTGCATCTCTAGTAGATTTGCTTTAGTGTGGTTTTGCAACACGTTGTGATCACTCATGGTGGACTATTGCGCCAAGCGATCAAAACCATTGGCTCCCAGTTTGAATTAACTGTCGGGCGTGTCGACATGTTCGGGTTAATACGAGTTCTCTCCTACAATTACAAAGAGCTGTGCTGGGACCAGGGCGTCACTTGAAATTAAGAGGTCTACATTAAGTGCTTTAACTACATTACCTACATTAGATGCTTTGTGTTAATGATCGACATACACATGGTACAATTCGTTCATAGGCTCTGTACGTACCAGGGGCATAAAGTTCTTCATAGGAAAGTAGCAAGTGTACGGTTTGAGAAACACAAATAAGCTAGTTAATGATTACCGTTCTCTAGCAAAAAGATTTCACAAGTGCATCATTTTTTTCAGCAAAGGTTGTATGTAAATGAACAGCCATTTCTAAACATACTGATAAGTTTGTTCAGAGTGCAAACATGGGAAAAAAGACAAAGTACACTCTCTCTTTTTGCTATGTTCGCATGCTGAAAAAATTGCCAATATGAATACACACCAACTGGCCCAACCATCCACTTTTGTAGCATACCTATTTCTAGAGGATAAATGCGCATATTGGTTTGTTATAGCTTGTAGAGACTAATTCATTATGGCACTTTAAGCATCTCAATTTATTTCTAGCTAACGTGATCAACTGATTCATAACTTGGACGGAAACTTGTTCACAAGAGATTTGAACATTGTGGAAAAGCAAACACAATGAAATCATTTGTTTTTTTTGTACTTGGTGGTGTGTTTACGAGTATGACATTCTGCTATTCTCATGGGCAACAGCTTCCTCAACACTAACAGATGGTGGTGTAAAGTGTGCTACACCTTTATTCATACCAGTTTTGTCATTATTTTAGGTGCAGTGTTATGCCATACAAGTTTTTCATGATAGTAGTAGTTGAGGACACTCGATGTCACACTACAAGATCTGCTTATTCCTACCTTGGCCTCAGCAGGCCATTATGCAGAGCGTATGATTACAACACTATAATTTTGAACTATGTCACAAATATTAATTTTATTAGGACTGTACTGAAGATCTTGTTGCACTTGGGGTGACCAACTCTCCAATGAAAGAAATGAGGATGGCATGAGGAGGTTGCACGAACGTGTTAGTGTACCTTGCCCCCGTTTTTCCCTAAATAGAGTGAGGTAGCGAAATCACTTTCATTTGTGGTGTATTGTTTCACACTGTTGCAGCCTATTAACTGGCACTTCAGCAGGGTACGTCCCACTCACAACATTTCCACTTGCTGAAGAATGTACTTAAAAAATTGTGACACTTCAAACGGAAGTAAACCTAAAGTGGCTAAAGCCCCTCACTGTCATTGCCAGCTGCCGCGGTATTGATTTGTGCATGTAATTTGTACAAACTTCATGTTCCACAGCATCATAGCATAATGCACATTATAGGGCCTTTGTTCGATCTGATAAAAATTTCCATCTGGATGGTCCAGAACTAATCTAGGGAACATAGCCATCCTCACAGGGAGTTTGTGTGGCTCGGCACACTACATAAAAAGTGAAGACAGTCCAGGAAAACTCGGAACGGTTGGCAACCTTTGATTGCACTGCAGTGAAACATAACTCGCCCTTACTGAGACCTTTGCGCATGATTATGGCTGTTTTTTGACATGTGCATCTTATGACTATCTTACACAACCTTAATGAAAAGCTTCAGAAGATATAGTGGATGAAAAGACAACTTGTTCTCCCAGCAGCAAATTGTCTTTTCAACCACTTTTTTCTTTTCCCATCTATGTGTCATTTTTTTAAACCACACCTAAATCAGTACACCTAATAACTCCTATACCTTTCTTGGCTCTATTATCAGCTGGTTTTCATTAAAATTTTGTCAAATAAAGAGAAACGAGCCCTAAGAATTTTCTTCCTTCTTTCATACAAAGATATTTAGTGAGTTATTGGAGCAAAGATGCATCACGTCAGAGAGTGGCCATATTGACCGTTTCACTTTGGATCAATTTTGAGAAGACATTTATGGATGGCTGTGATGTATCCTTTTAACGTGCGATGCATAACAACAACAACAAAAACAACACTGCAAGTGCTATTTATTTGCTGTATTTTTTAACATTCGTGGTACACATTCCAAAACGTGGGTTTGCTCTGAAACAAAAAAAAACATTACAAAAGGCCATATTCAAATGCAAAAGAATCCAACAAAATGAATATGGACAAAATGATATCTATTTTAATATGACGGATGGTGCAGCATGGTGTCTTTAAAGGTGAGCATTTTGGACAGAGATCTGTCTCGCTGATTAAAATCGATACAAACAAAATAAGTTCTTCAGCCACTTTTAGTGCAAAGTTTCTAATGTTAGAATGATAAACTAAAAATTGAGGGTCAGTTCTCAGTTGTTAATTTTAACATGAGAAACTTTGGACTATAAGCAGCTATAGAACCTACTTTATACACGTGCATGTTGCAGCGAAAGGATACTACAAAGTGACATTTTTTGCATTGAACAGTTTGCATATTTAAAACTGCTTTAAAAGGAGTTTTACAATGCGCACGGAAACTTAAAGGCATCTTGTAAAAAGACCACTGTAGCCTTCCCATTCTTCCTTTTTATGGACCTAGTTGCCACTGTGATGATAAAAACAATACAAACTCACGCACTTGCCTAAAGTACGCTTAGAACACCCCCCCCCCCTTGTTGCCTCCGCAAAAAAAAAGCGCCCCTGCTACAGTCGTCACAGTAAGACACTTCTGTTTGACTCGATAAGATTGTATAAACGAAATTATCGGTCACTTTGCTTAATGGGTCCGATCAGGATATAATTTCTCAGCAGTGATAGGCTCACTTTCGCAGCTAGCGTAAGATAGCCAATTGCTACGGTTAAATTCGATCGTGATCAATAGTGACCGTGCAACACCGGTATTTCGAATAACGTACGCAAAGACAGTGAACGGACGCCGTTTATCCTTTCTCGATCCCTTTTTGTAGAGTGTAACTTTCAAGAGATTTGCACTGGTTAACATTAAATCTGCCACACTAACAAAACACTGTAGTCGTTATGACACTACAAGTCATGCAACAACATTAGCCTGTTGACAAAGTTCAACTCACCGATGGCCATAGCATTAGCAGCCCTCAGTGTCGCCTGGAAGCGTATGTGCTCCGCAGCCAGCGAGCACAGGGCGTCTGTTACTTGTGCAGAATGCGTGACGCACTCAATTGGCTCACGCCAGCCATGTCCCCTACCATAGACTGAAAACTGCCACTTGCGTAAAGGCGCAAAGCAACGTCTGGTGGAGGAACGTTACTCCATTTTCATTTGCCGCAAGAGGGCACGACACGTGAAGCTTGCGAGAAGAAGGAACTCGCCAGCCTCGAGGAGGAATGAAGGCCGTTTATCCTTTCTCGATCTCTTTTTTAGGGGCGAAGCTCCTTAGGGCGTGGGCTGTGCGTCCCCTGTAGCCTGTATGTAGCCACCTCTAGTTTAGTTCTTGCAGTGTTCACTAGATGGCGGTACCGTCCCCTGTATGTACAAAGGGGTAGACACAGTATGGGTGTCGAAGGGGTGTGTACGAAGGGGTAGACACAGTATGCAGTGCGTGTGGAGAGGAAGAAGAAACTGCCGAACACTTGATAATGTTCTGTAAAGGGCTTCACCCTATAGTTCAGGATGATGGCGCAGAGTTTTTCAAAGCACTGGGGTTTAGGGACCGGGAGGGCAAAATAAACTTTAAGCGGGTAGACTTAACTATAAGGAGGTTATCTGATTGGTGGCTAAAGTCAAGGCACGAGTGAAAATTAAACTCTTCACTGCAAAGTACGAATCCTCAAACTTTTTTTTTTAAGGAAAAAATATAGTTTTTGGTTCATTAGGTAATACGGTTTGGTGGCGCTGGCCACCGCCCGATCTAAAGGGTACAGCCATATCCATCCATCCATCCATCCATGTAGCCACCTCTAGTTTAGTTCTTGCAGTGTTCACTAGATGGCGGTACCATCTCCTGTATGTAGCCACTTCTCGTTTAGTTCTTGTAGTGTTTACTAGATGGTGGTACATGTAGCTGATAATGAAAAGATGCAAGATGTTATAAACTAGAAAGCGGTACTTGTAGTTGATAAAAGACGCGAGATCTTATAAAATAGGAATGATGTCACATATGGCGCGTGTCATTGGTTGAAGGCAATCGTTCGATTTAGTGCGGCGACGTACGCTAGGGGGAGCGTTGTAATAAAATCCGCTGTAAAAATCCGTTGTAATAAAATAAATACATCAACAGGCCAAGATGACATTCCAATTAGGCTGATAAAAACATTAGGTCCGAAGTCTAAGCAGGCTTTGAGAGAGGCAGTGAGTACAATAATAATCGATGGTGAAGTTCCCGATGGATGGAAACTTAGTAGGATGAGCATGATCTATAAAGGAAAGGGGGACAAAGCTTACA